CCTGCCCTGCCCTGCCATGCCCTGCCATGCCCTGCCATGCCATGCCATGCCCTGCCCTACCATGCCCTGCCCTGCCATGCCCTGCCCTGCCATGCCATGCCCTGCCCTGCCCTGCCCTGCCATGCCATGCCCTACCATGCCATGCCCTGCCATGCCCTGCCCTGCCATGCCCTGCCCTGCCATGCCCTGCCCTGCCCTGCCCTGCCCTGCCCTGCCCTGCCCTGCCATGTCCTGCCCTTCCATGCCCTGCCCTGCTATAGCCATGTCATGCCCCACTGACCTTTTTTAATGCCCGGGCAGGCATCCTCGCCCACGAACACCAAAGGCACGGGCACTTTAACTCGTGCGCTTTCGCGTTCGGGCAGCTTGAGAAAAGTCACATTAAGAATCTCGTCCGTTGCTCCATGCCAGTGCACCTGCGACGGGAGGTTGGGGGGAGGATGGAGGGGGGGGGGGATGGGGGGAGGATGGGGGAAGCAGGGGAGGAGGTTGTGGGGCTGAAGGGAGCCACGTTGAGAACCTTGTCCGTTGCTCCATGCCAGTGCACCTGGTCAGAAGGCGGAACAGGATAGGGGGGAAACGGAACGGGGGGAAGATGGCATTGGGGGAAACGGAACGGGGGGAAGATGGCATCGGGGGAAATGCGTGGTAGGATAAGGGGAAGAAGGGGAGTCACGCTGAGTTTCTCGTCCGTAGCTCCATGCGAGTGCACCTGCGACGGGAGGTTGGGGGGAGGATGGGGGGAGGATTGGGGGAGGATGGGGGGAGGATGGGGGAAGGATGGGGGGAGGATGGGGGAAGGATGGGGGGAGGATGGGGGGAGAGGATGGGGGGAGGATGGGGGGAGGATGGGGGGAGCATGGGGGGACGATGGGGGCAGGATGGGGTCAGGATGCGGGGAGGATAGGAGGAGGATGGGGCAGGGATGGGACATCTTGTATGTGGCAGCTACGCTTGGATTGGATACTCGAGTGGGAAAATGGGAACAGGAGAAGAGGCAGCAGGGGGACAGGGGGTGTAGTAAAGGGAGTGGGGAAGGAGATGGGAATAAAAGCTACGAAGACGGAAGCTGCAAAACGGGGAAAGGAGGTGTTTGAAGAGGCAGCGGGGGACAAGGGGTGTAGGATAGGGAGGGAGGGAGCGGGGAGGGGGGTTGGAGTAAGCCACGAAGAGGAAAACTGCAAAATGGGGAAAGGAGGCATGAAAAAAGATAACAGAGTCAAAAATAAAATAAAATAAATCCAGTAGTTAAGAGGCATGCGACTAAGAGATGCACAGAAAGGGGAGAGGGGAGAGGGGAGAGGGGACGGGGGGGGGGTGGAGGCGCAGGGTTGTGGGTGGGAGTGGGGGAAAGGGAAGTATTTCTCACGGCAAGGAAGGGACGCGGGAGACGCGGGATGTGAGTTGCAAGTGCAGATAGGAGAAGCGGATAAGACTTAATGGAAGGAACAATGCAGGCACTTATGATAATTTTAAAAACCAGTGGAATCCGAAATGGTACAGGCACTTACCAGCTTCGGAATCACTCTCATCCGGACACTCTCAACCGTTGATTCTTCCGGCACCCCCTCCGCTCCCGCCGCCTCCCCTTCCGCCGCTTCCGCGCCCTCCGCGGCAATCTCGAGGTCGAACACCTGCGACACGAAGAACGGCCGCCCGAACTTCTTCACCAGCCGTCCGATCTGCTTGCGATCGACGGACACCAGCCGTTTTCGGCCGCCCAGATGCCCGTCCTCCTGCTCGAAGACTATGCTCGGTATTCTCCCTAATCGCCGCTCCTTCTTAGCTTGGATCTTGCCCGACCCGGGCCTAAGGACGGCTTTAATTACCTCCTTTTTCCGCGCCTCCTCTTCGCCGTGGTCTGGCGGAGGAGGGACGAGACCCAGCTCGACTAATATCCCGGCAAATCCGCGTGATAGGGGAGGGTGTGATAGTAACGGTGGTTGGACGCGAGCTGCTGGATTGTGTGACAGTAACGAGGCGGAGGTTGCGGGCTTTGGAGACACGATAGGGAGAGCCGGCGAAGAGTGAGTGTGCAGCCTAGCGTGCGAGTCGTTGGCGAAATGGAGCTGAGGAGTTACCAATGTCGCAGATCCAGCGTGAGACACTAACTGTGGGAGCGAAGGCGGTGCGGAGAACCTCTGGGAATTTGTGAAGCCAAGCGCGAGCCGCCTCGCGACATTGCTGAACGCCCGGCTCCTGGCCATGGCGGAAGAAAGGAATTGCGCAAATGGCGGGAAAAAGGAGGTGCGCAAATGGCGGGAAAAAGGAGGAGCGCAAATGGCGGCATACACGGAGGGAAGGGTGGTGGCGCAACAAGTTGAGTAACCTCGATACAGGCAAGCACGCTATGAGTGAATGCAACCTCCAGGTCTGTACTGGAAGAACTAAATAAATAAAAAACCGAAACAGAAATACACAAGTAGGCAACTTCAGAAGAGAGGCAATCATATCTATTGAAAATTGGAAAGTATTCTATGGGGTGTTACCATAACGATTGTCAGCCTTTTTCTAGGCTCTCCTTCTGAGAACCAATCATATCGCTCCCTTGTCGTGTTTGTTCACGACAGGTCGGATTCCCATCTGCGCGGAGAAGCTACATCTTGAACGGTCCAGATCCTGTTTCCAGAATATGAGGGAAGCCAAAAGCGCAACCTGCTGGTGTTTCAGCGAGAGTCGTCATGGAAAATCCCGGTTTCGGCAACCCCGGTAACCATTTCGGATTTCGATCGTTGTCGCCGAAACCGCAACTCTTGTTCCTCCTCCTAGCCCTCTTTCTTCAGTTTGCTTCACTTCCCCACCCTCGCATACCTTGATTGGACCGTTGAATTTGTGTTGTGCTATTTCATTTGATGTTGATGAATTTTCGATAGTCGTTCTCGTGGAGGCCTGTTTCTTGCACACCTCGTCGACCGCGTTAGCTTCAGTTAGCGACCCGACTAGCTTTCGGATTACTCGTCAGCTTGGGCCGATTCAGCTTCATTATCGTCGTCTTGTTTCTGTAAACATCCTCTCACACGTATTCACCGTCTTGGCGTTACGGGCTACTAGTAGGGGGCGCGGCCCGACCCCGCGTGTCCAAGATACGGGAGCTATCGTCCTCTCTTCAGGCGTTTAGTGAATATAAATTACATCCTAGTTCGTTCTTTAGAAATAACCGCTGCGCTTACTAGCCCAGTAGGCTCTGAATGGGGAGTGTAGCTCACACGCGTCGCGACTAGATCACCTTATTTCCACCGGCTCGGTTCATTTTACAACTTGCGATTTCCACCGTCGATGTTGTTCCTGGCCGCTCTAAGCACCGATCCCACCGTTGATCTCGGCGCCAATGGTGTGCTCGGCCTTCCCCTCCTCGACTCCACTCGTCAGATGAAAGAGTTCCCCCTGTTCGCATCCGCGCACCCCGCCGCCGCCCCTTCTGCTTCCGCCGACGGCTCCGCCAGCCTATCTTCCGCCATGGCGGGCGCGCCAGCTCCGCCAGTGTCGTCGACAAAAGCGGAGGCGTTCGCGAGCCTGTCGATTCTGCTGCAGATCGCCATGCTCATGGTCGCATTCGTCGTCGGACATATCTTGCGACGTCGCAAGGTGTACTACATTCACGAGGGCAGCGCCGCCCTGCTCATTGGTGCGTGTGTGAGTCGGTGTGCCTCTGCATCTCTGAGTCTCTGCGTTTCTGTCTCTCTGTCCGTCTGGTCGCAAGGTGTACTACATCCACGAGGCCAGCGCCGCCCTGCTCATTGGCGCGTTAACTGGGTCTGCTCATTGCTCATTCTACTAGTACTTGCTTGCTTGTTTGTTTGCACGCACTGCGTCTGTGCGTCTGTGCGTCTGTGTGTCTGAGCGTCTCTGCGTCTCTGTCGGTCTGATCGTTGGTTGTAACGTGTACTGCTGCCTCCACTCCTTTCAACCCCTTGTGCCAATGCCAGGCCTCGTGGTGGGCTCCGTGGGCAACTGCATCCTCCCACCGTCTCACCTCCCCCCCCGCCTCCATTTTCCCACCGTGTGCGTGCGTGCCGATGCCAGGCCTCGTGGTGGGCTCCGTGGGCAACTGGCGAGGCACTCAGGAGAGCTTCAGGTGAGAGGGCTGGCGGGTTGGCAAGGGAGAGCTTCAGGTGAGAGGGCTGGCGGGTTGGCAAGGGAGAGGTCAGGTAAGGGGCAGGTTGGTGGGGGGAAGGCTTCAGGTGAGAGGGCAAGGTGAGCGGGCAAGGTGGGAAGGGAGGGGAAGTTATGGAGGGCAGCTTGATGGGGGGGAAGCTTCGGGTGAGAGGGCAGGTTGGTGGAGGAAGAGTTTCAGGTGAAATGTCAGGTTTGTCAAATCAAAGGATCAGGTGAAAAGATGAACTGAATATGTGTGATGGGCTGGCTGTACGTGTAGTGTCATGGAATGACCAGGTGCAGTCTCCTCAAATTTCTGTAAATTTCTCCTAGGTGACTTTTGAGTCGACTCAAAAGTCACCTCGTTATTATGGCAGGTGCAGTCTCCTCAAATTTCTGTAATTTTCTCCTCGTCTGGCAAAATGCATGTAACCTCATGTAATAGATTGACCATGTGTGCTCCCCCTGTCTGATGAGACTAGTTGCAGTCCCCTTATAGTATGAGCTCACTCTGCCCTTCCCCTTCACATTCCACCATCTTTGCTGTCTACTTGTGTTCTCTGCTTCTTTGGACTGAACTGCAGGGAATGGCTTGGATTTAAGGAAGAGATTTTCATGCTCTTTCTCCTACCGCCGATCATATTATATCCGCCCACTCATCCTACCTAACCTCTTATTTTCTTTCCTTCTCCTTTTACCCTCAATAGGAATCCGTTGCCTTTTAATCCTCTCTCCATATCCGCAACATTTCTCATGTAGACTTGCCAATGTGCTTACAAATTTGTTTGTTTCTTTTTATTTATATATGTACTTATTTTCTTCTATTCGAAGTTATTATGCAAAGTTTCGTGAAGAATCTCCTGGCGATCTGTTTGTCCTTAACTTACCTTCACTGCTCGCTGCTGATGCCTGGGTGTGCGCGGTTCTTGGTCATGACTCATGGCCGTGCGATGCTTGTTGATGCTTCTGGGGCACTTGTTCGCCTCTGCACTGAGTCTGGCTTCAGCCTTCAAGTGGTGAGTGAGTCATGCCATGCTGCCATCCTGTCATGCTGCATGTGTGTGTGAGTGTGAGTGCACATCATGTGTCTCTTCTTCACTGCTCCCTCCCTCTCCCGCCCGCACACACAAGTAATTCCTCAACGACGTCAGAGCCACAGTTCCGCCTCTGTCAAATTTCTTTTCGTGTGTGCGCGCGCGTGCCTCACTCACCACCCCTCTTCCCAATGCAGAAGCCGTTTTTCAACAACTTCGGAGCCATAGTCACCTTTGCATGTCAGTCTCATTCTGTGTGCGCTCGCGTGCCTCACTCACCACCCCTCTTCCCAACGCAGAAGCCGTTTTTCAACAACTTCGGAGCCATAGTCACCTTTGCATGTCAGTCTCATTCTGTGTGCGCGCGCGTGCCTCACTCACCACCCCTCTTCCCAACCCAACACAGAAGCCATTCTTCAACAACTTTGGAGCCATAGTCACCTTTTCATGTCTCGGCACTTTCCTCTCAGCCATTGTCACTGGCATCCTCGTGTGAGTGTTGAGTCGCATAAGAGAGCGTTTGGGAAAACGTGTAAAGAAGGGCCTTGTAACCTTTACCCGTCCTGGCACCTTCCTCTCTGCCATTGTCACAGGCGTCCTTGTGCGAGTGCTGAAGTGGGTTTTGTTGTCAGTCGTCTTAAAGTGCCAGGATTAAGGCCAAAGAAAAGAACGAGCCCGAAATAGCGGCACAGAACATCGTCAACATTGCCTGTCTCGGCGCCTTGTGCTCAGCCATTGTCACGGGCGCCCTCAGGTGAATGCGGTGGGAGTGTGCGCCAAGCTGGTTTTTGACAATTCTCATTTTGTTTGAGATTAGTTTTGACAATTCTCATTTTGTTTGAGATTAGTTTTGACAATTCTCATTTTGTTTGAGATTAGTTTTGAGAATTCTCATTTTGTTTGAGATTAGTTTTGAGAATTCTCATTTTGTTTGAGATTAGTTTTGAGAATTCTCATTTTGTTTGAGATTAGTTTTGAGAATTCTCATTTTGTTTGAGATCAGTTTTGAGAATTATCAAAACTAATCTCAACCAGCTGGGAGTGTGAGCCACATCTGTTAGCTTCTGGGGAAACGCATCAGGAAGGAAGGACATTTTTCTCTCAGTCATTGTCACCCGGATCCTAGTCTGAGTGCTGGGGTGGGTTAGTGTTGTTACGACCTGCCTTAGAGAGCGTGGAAAAGCGACACATCGTATCCTCATGACACCTTTATATGTCTCAGCAGCAACTTTCCTTTCAGCCGTTGTCACCGCCGGGATCCTCATGCAGTGCTTTTGGGGCTGCCTGGTTGGCTGGCTGGCTGGCTGGCTGGCTGGCTGGCTGGCTGGCTGGCTTGCTTGCTTGCTTCTTTAATCTTCCTCGTGTACAAGCTCTCCTTCCATTATGTGAACTTACCACAACCTTCCATCCGCCCTCCAATGTGCCTCATGTGCCCCAACCATTCCCCAATGCAGCTACGCGGGCGGATTCCTCTTCCTCATGTACAAGCTCTCCTTCCTCGAAGCACTCATCTTTGGATCCCTTATCTCCTCCACCGACCCGGTTGCTGTGCTCGCCATCTTCCAGGTGGGTGCTGGGGAAGGTTGTGAGCGGTGAAGGTTATGGTTAGTGTAGTGCACCAGGGACAAGCCGCTCACCTCATCTCCTCCACCGACCCTGTCGCTGTCCTCGCCATCTTCCAGGTGGGTATTGGGGAAGGAATTTAGAGCATGTTGCTAGTCGAGTGCCCCACACCACACTCAAGCCCTTGTCTCATCTCCTCCACCAAACTATTGACCCCACACACAAGCCCTCCCTCGCGATCTTCCTTCCAGTTGCATCCTCTGGTTGTGAATGACAAGAAGTCTGCCAGCTCCTCACCTTATCACAGCTCCGTGGCTCCTCAGATTGCCGGCTCTTCACCTTGTCATTGCGTTTGTCGCCCCATTTGTCTGCACCTTCTCCCCTCACTTCCACCCCTCCCTCTCTCAAGTTACCCTTCTCTCTGCAACATTATCGCGCGCGTCACGACGTGGGAGCAGGCACTATTTCTGAGGCGCCTCACTATTCCTCCCTCTCTTGAATGGCCCTTTCGTCTTCCATCCCCCCACCAAACATCGCAATCAGGACGTGGGAGCAGACACGAATCTCTATGCGCTTGTGTTCGGCGAGTCTGTGCTCAACGACGCGGTACGTACGTGGGTGGGTGGGCGGGCGAGTGGGCGGGCGAGTGGGCGGGTGGGCGGGTGGGTAGGTGGGTGTATGGGTGGGTGGTTCACACACGTCGTGACTTTTTACTCAAATTTTGAGTCAAGTAAAAAAAATCACCGCGCTTGTGTTTGGCAAGTCAGAGGGAAAAGTTGAGTCAACGACGCAGAACGTACGTTCACAAGATTGAATGACGCGGTTCACCGTTCACACATGACCAAGGTTGGTTTTTGATTTGACCCAAAAATCGACGTATTGTTTGTATTGTATGTGTACACAATTGGTTCACATGAGCAAAGCGCGTGGAAATGATAGTGGTTTTTCTTCTTCTCCTTTTTCGTTATTTCATTTCTTCCCGTGCTGGACGCATATACGAGGATTCTCAGTTCACTCCCCTGTTTGAGACGTCTGTTGTCTAACCTGTGGATTCTGTGTTTGCGTTTTAATCTCTCAGTGGGTTCCAGAGTTCGGATTTCTTGATTTTCTCGGCACTTAGCAGGGTGCAACATACAGATTAATACTTCTGTCTTTTTTTTTGCTAAAAGTGACTTCCTGACTGCAGCTCACCCCGTCCACATGGCTGATTCTGTGTTTGCTGGAAGCCTGGAAGTGTAGTATGTTGCTTATGCGGACACAATTCATTGGTTCTGGTGTTCGTTTTGTGCCTGTGCATCCACATGCCCTGCTGTATGCATTTATGTGCACATGGATGGATGCGCACCATTATGTGTATGCGTGGGCATGCACACACCTGCGTATGTCCATGTATGCCCATGCATGCATGCATGCAAATGCACATGTATGCATGTGTGCATGTGTGCAACCCACAGGTGGCCATTACCATGTACAGGTGAGAGAACCCCTGCAACGACGCTCCATGCTGCTCCGTTCCGTACCATTCTCTTCCACTGTCGTTTGTGAAAGGCTTCCACGCTCCATTCCTTCTCTTTGGATCAAGAGATCAAGAATGATGACACAAACTAGGGCGTATGGGAGGAGGCTTTTACACAAACTTTATTTCAAGTCCATGCTCTACCTCCTCCCATACGCCCTCTTTGCCTTTCAACACGAACAAGGTCGTGGCAATGAATACCACAGATCGCAGCCCATCAGCGCAACCAGTCAGTTCCTCCCTCCCCTCCAACTGCACAGGACCGTGATGACCATCATTCGCAACCCTGCAGCCGACCCAAGCATCTCTGCCGCCTTCCAATACGCCGCCATAACCTTTGCAGGCTCCACCTCCATTGGTATGTATGTATGTATGTGTCTTAGCTTTGTCCCATTGCCTCCTTGTCTCAAACCAAGCACTGCACTGCACCCATTGGTTCTGCGTCTGATTTGTTTTTCTCCACAGTTCTATCTCTTTCCTACTCCCCCACATACGTGGTTGCTTCAAACGCCTCTTAACTTTTCCCTCACCTTTCCCTTTCCCTGTGCTGCCTCATCTCTGCCTGACCTCTTCCAACTTTGCCCTGACCTCTTCCAACTTTGCTCTGCCCTCTTCCAACTTTGCTCTGCCCTCTTCCAACTTTGCTCTGCCCTCTTCCAACTTTGCTCTGCCCTCTTCCAACTTTGCTCTGCCCTCTTCCAACTTTGCCCTGCCCTCTTCCAACTTTGCTCTGCCCTCTTCCAACTTTGCTCTGCCCTCTTCCAACTTTGCTCTGCCCTCTTCCAACTTTGCTCTGCCCTCTTCCAACTTTGCTCTGCCCTCTTCCAACTTTGCCCTGCCCTCTTCCAACTTTGCCCTGCCCTTCTCCACGTTTCCACTGCAGGTGTAGCTGTGGCGCTCTTCTCTGCTCTCATATCCTGCTAAACGCCCTTCACCCCTTCCTTTGCCCCTTCCTTTGCCATCTTCCCTCCACCTCTTCCATTATCAACCTCCCTTTGCTCCTCCTTCACAAACCTCCTTTACCTCGTCCTTTATCAATCTTCCTTTCAGTCTTGCTCTGCCTTCTTCTGCACATCACGTTTTGAGACTTCTCATAACCTTGATCCTCGTTCCACACTTCATTAACGTTTGATTTTGCTGATTTCTCACATTCGTTTTCGTGACTTCACTTGCTCTGGTTGTTGCTCGTGGAAAACCGTTTTGTGCTCTCTTTCTGAGTCGACTCAAGATCCATTTGTACCCATCCTTAACTCCGTTGTGCCGTTTTGCTACGTGTGACCTGGTGTGTTGCTGTATACGGCGTACCATCCACCACCTCTTCAAGTATGCCGGCCTCTCCGTGAAGAAGTGAGTTCTTGCCTTTTATCTAGTACCACAACTCTCAACTCCGCATGCTGTCTGTGTCACTCGTGATTTTTCCAAGTGCCCATTCTCCTGGCCCACTCTTCTCCCCTTCCCTCTTCCCCTTTTTTGTTCCTCTCACAGTCTCCCCTGCCTTGATTTCCTTTGGATACATCCAAATTATAACATGAAAGGTGCCCACTTCCCCCTTCCCCCTCTTCTCCCTTCCTTCCAACTCCCCGCTTTGCTTCCACACACAGTCTTCACAACCTCGAGTGCTGCCTCATCGTTCTCTTCCCCTACATCTCGTGAGCCTTCCTCCCCTCCCCTTGCCGTAACGCCCATGGTCAAATCGAGTTGATGCATTCAGCATTTCAATAAAATTGAATTGGGCCATTCGTTGTGTACAACAACAGGCATGCTTGCCCCGTTTTGTCTCCATACCCTCCCTGTCCCTTCCTGTAACGCCCTACCCTTCCCCGCCCCTCTCTGTTGTTCTGTTGTATGTTGTCCCATAACTGTCTCTGCCGTTCAACCCCACTCTACCTCTCTTCCCGTCGCTGGTCTCTGCCATTCTGCACCTCCTCCCAGCTATCTCGTGGCGGAGGGCCTTACTCTCTCAGGCATCGTTGCCATCCTCTGCCCCCTTTTGCCCCTCTCCACCCCTCTCTCCGCCTCCTGTCCCTCTGCACCACCTCTCAGCTATCTCGTGGCGGAGGGCCTTGCACTCTCAGGCATCGTTGCCATCCTCTTCTGTGGAATTGTAAGCCCCTCATTTGCAACTTTTTTTATTTTGTGTTTTTTTATTCTTGTTTGGTTCCTACATGCCCTCTTAACACACCATCCGTTTTTTGTACTAACGTCCCTTCTTCCCCTCCCAAGCGCTACACCTTCCCCAACCTCTCAGAGGTGGCGCAGGTCCTCTCTGCTCCGCACTCCGCACCCCGCATCCCACCTCTCCCCACCCACACGCACCCCGTTGCCCACTTTCCCCACTCCTCCGCCTTTCTTCTCCAACACCCCCTCCTCCCCCCCCCTCCTCCCCCCCCTCCTCCCCCCCCCCCCTCCTCCCCTCTCCTCCCCTCAGCTCATGAAGCGATACACCTTTCCCAACCTCTCCGAGGTGGTCCAAGTCCTCTCTGCTTCACACTCCCCATACGCTTCTCCACTCCCCATACGCTTCTCCACTCCCCATACGCTTCTCCACTCCCCTGTACACCCCGCTTCCCCCCACCTTTCCATCCTTCTCCCCCCCTCCCCTCAGCTCATGAAGCGCTACACCTTCCCCAACCTCTCAGAGGTGGCTCAAGTCCTCTCTGCCGGCTTCTTCCAGCTCATCGCCTCCATCGCTGAGACCTTCACGTGAGTGAGCCCTCCTTTCCGTGTACTGGTAAAAGGTCAGCAAGTGTCCTTCGTGGTGTTAGTATGGCTCCTCTGCTTCCCAGCTCCTCTCTGCCGGCTTCTTCCAGTCCAACTCATCGCATCCATCGCTGAGACCTTCACGTGAGTCATAGCTTGGCATACTCACTTGATAAGCACCCACGTGATAAGCACCCACGTGATAAGCACCCACGTGATAAGCACCCACGTGATAGGCACCCACTTGATACATACCCACTCTAGGTGACGGCTTCACTGTCACAGAGGTTGCATTGGTAAAGTATGGGACTTATTTCTTGAACGCTTAGCATGGCCCCAGTGGTCGCATTGGTAAAGCAAGAGAGTTCCCCACCTTCCCCCCTCCCCAGCTTCATCTACATGGGTAAGGAGATTGTCGGGGGGGAGGGGGGGGGGGGGCACCAGCAGTGTAGTGTTTACGTGTTGGCGCAACCTCAACCTCCCTAACCAGTCCCCACCTCTCCATTCCCTTCCGTGGCTCTTTCCCCTCCCCTCTCCCTCCCTCCTCAGGTTCATCTACATGGGAACGGAGATTGCTCTGGGGGAGCACCAGCGGTGGGGGCACATCAGCTTCATCTTCTTCTCCATCGTGAGTGAGATGAAGCCTTGGGCGCTGGGGTGGGATGGGGCGCGGCAGGGCGCTGGGCTGGGATGGGGTGGCATGGGGTGGCATGGGGTGGCATGGGGTGGCATGGGGTGGCATGGGGTGGCATGGGGTGGCTTGTGGGATGGACCTTGTTGTGCAATCCAGTTTAACCATTCGAAACCCCTTTGGTCCCCCCTGAGTTCCCTCTCCTGCACTATTCAGTCACGCCCTTTGTAGAGGGGTGTGTGAGTGCAAGCAAGCACATCCTTGGATTCATTCTTGAGATTTGTTAACAGTATGCCGGGTGACTTTCGAGGCGCTTCAAAAACCACTCTTGAGAATTATTAAAAGCATCTTCTTGTGCATGTGCGGGGTGTGTGTGTGTGTGTGGGGGGGGGGGGGGGGGGGGGGGGGCTTGGGTGGGTGCGTGTGGGTGTGTGTATGTGTTTTTCCTTTCCTCCCATGCTTCACCGCTGCCCTGTCGGCTTCACCGCTGCCCTGTCGGCATATGAACTCCTCCCAACTCATCGTGATGCCTCTCCAATTCACCGGCGCTCTTGTCAGCTCTTCATAGCTGTAGCAAGGTGAGTAACGGTGTAGCAAGGTGAGAAGCGGTGTAGCGAGGTGAGAGGGGGTGGTGCAAGCAAGGTGAATGGGGTTGTAACAAAATAAATGAGCAGGCTGTGCAGGCGTCAACGTTCCCTTAACTACCAGATAGATTTGAAAAAATATATGATCAATAGAAGAGAAAGAACATGTCAGTGAGTAGTCCTGTTACTATCCTCTTCTCCAAAAGCGAGTGTTTCCTTACATATCAGCATGCCTCAAATCTATCCATCCTGCAACCACTCCAGTATGCCGGCATGGCATCCCGATCACACTCCCATTCAAATCTCTTCCTCCTCTCCATTCTCCTCCCTCCTCTCTTCCGCCCCCATCTCCTTCCAGAGCCGCCAATGTGTTCCCCTGCATGCATCTCATCAACCTCTTCCTCCTCCGTACCCTCTATCCTTCCTCCGCTCCCTCCCTGCTCCCTCCCCCGCATTTTTCAACCCCATCAGGGCCGCGAATGTGTTTCCCTGCGCGCATCTCATCAACCTCTTCCGCCCTCCCTCCAAGCAAATACCTGACAGCCACCAAAAGGCGCTCTGGTTTAGTGGTCAGTGCCCTCTTTTGAGAGCGTGTTTTTTGAGAGTTCTCAAAAGTGATTTCAAATACCTGACAGCCACCAAAAGGCGCTCTGGTTTAGTGGTCAGTGCCCTCTTTTGAGAGCGTGTTTTTTGAGAGTTCTCAAAAGTGATTTCAAATACCTGACAGCCACCAAAAGGCTCTCTGGTTTAGTGGTCAGTGCCCTCTCCCTCCTCATTTTCGATCACTCTATCACTACAACAACACTCCCTCACTCTACCGCCCTGCCACTTTTGATTTCAACAAAAAATCGGACTGCTAGCAGAAGGCTCTGTGGTTCAGTGGTGGTCAGTTCGCCCTCTCTCACCCCATCTCACCCCATCTCACCCCATCTCACCCCAACTCACCCCACCTCACCCCACCTCACCCCTGCCCTCAGGTCTGCGAGGAGCCATGGCGTTTGGGCTGGCTCTGCAAGCAACACATGACCTGCCTGCTATACTCTGTGCTGACATGCACTGTGCTGACATGCACTGTGCTGACATGCACTGTGCTGACATGCACTGTGCTGACATGCACTGTGCTGACATGCTTGCATGTTTCATCTGCCCTTGCTCCACCCCGTTCCCTTTCACCCCAGGCTTGCGAGGAGCCATGGCGTTTGGGCTGGCTCTGCAAGCAACACATGACCTTCCTGCCATACACTGTGCTGACATGCTTGCATGTTTCATCTGCCCTTGCCCCACCCCGTTCCCTTTCACCCCAGGCTTGCGAGGAGCCATGGCGTTTGGGCTGGCTCTGCAAGCAACACATGACCTACCCAACCACAGCCATGGGAGGGCGATATTCACCACCACAACAGCTATTGTCATGCTCACTGTAAGCACGCCTCCTCTTTTCAGTGTCATTCTCTGCATCACCTGTTGTCTGCCCAACCACGGGCGTGGAAGGGCGATTTTCACCATTACAACCGCTATAGTCATGCTCACTGTAAGCACCTCATGTGCCACTGTATTGTCTTAGAGTGCTTCATGTTTGTAAAATGCAACCACTCCTCTGTGTCTCCTACTTTCATATCTCACAGGTGATTCTGTGAAAGTAGATGTAGAATCACCTGTGAGATATGAAAATGATTCTGCTGGGTGGAAGCACGTCCACTGTGTTGGAGTGGCTGCGTGTTTGTCAGTCAGGTTTCAGGCTCCTCAGTTTCTTGCTTTCCCTCTATCCTTCTTTCCGCCTATCTCTCCCCCCACACAACCCCATCCCTTCAGGTGATTCTGCTGGGCGGCAGCACGTCGACTGTGCTGGAGCGGCTGCGTGTGACGGGGGACAGATACAGCCAGCTGAGACAGGTGTGGTGCGGTGAAGAGCGGTGAGCAGAGATGAAGAGAGATAATGAGTGGTGAAGAGGGATGAAGAGGGATAAGGGATAAAGAGGGATGATTCGAGGTGAAGGGGGTTGTGGTAAATCGTGGTTAGAGCGGCAGATCACTTTGCAAGCTGATGGGTGTATGATTATCCAGGAACAGAGCTGTGAGGAATCATTAAGAAAGGTGTGCAAGGTGCAGAGGATGAGAGCGCTCTGACTCATGGACTCATGCATCATATATCATGTATACATGCTGCAGGAATGGGAGGGCGGGATGTACGTGTTGACATGACAGTCATGAGAAAGCGAACACCTTTCTCTTTCCAAACCCCCTGCCGTCCTTTCCAGCCGGATGACACATCGGATGAGGAAGAAGAGGAAGAGAGCACCATCATTCACGGACTCATACATGCACATGGAGCACAGAGGCAGTGGAAATCCAGCTCATGTTTCTTGTGCCAAACCCCTGCCGTCCTTTTCAGCCGGATGACACATCGGACGAGGAAGAAGAAGAGGGCAGTGGCATGACGCACGGCCTCATACATGCACATGAGGACACACATGGGAGCGCACGCGGCCATGGGCATGGTGATGGGCGTGGGGGAGGGCGAGGAGGAGGGCGAGGAGGAGGGCGAGGAGGAGGGGAGCCGAATAGGGCTCCGTTTTCGCCCCAGAAGTTGGGCTCTGCTGATGTGTATTCCCAACACCATGTCAACATCCTGCCAGAAAAGTGCGTACGGGTGCGGGTTTTTTTCATCTATGCACGTGCGAATGGGTGACACACACACATGCAGGCACATGCAGGCACATGCATGCACATGCACTCGCGTGTGCGCACACACGCCCATGCAAATGCATTCACACGTGTATGCACATGCGGGCATGTGTGAACCTACACGTTCACACACATACATCCTTTTGCACATGCAGGCACATGCACGAACACAGTTTGGCCAGGAGAGAAGGCCACGTACATCCAACAACTCATCTTGAGCTGCCTCAGATAATCTTTCTGAGGCGCCTAAAAAATCAGTTTTTGGTTAGGAGAGAAGGCCAGGTACATCCAACAACTCTTCTTGAGCCGCCTCAAATAATCTTCTTGAGGCGCCTAACCAATAAGTTTTTGGTCAGGAGAGAAGGCCAGGTACATCCAACAACTCTTCACGGCAAAGCCTGCAAAACGTGGCACCTCACTGGGCCCCTTGTCGCTCTTGCCTCACCCCTGTGGTGTATCCTTACAGCCCTTCCTTTGTTCGAGGACCTTGACTCCTAAGTGAATTCGACCGTTCTTCACCCCCCCTCCTAAGTGGTGTAAGGCCTGCAATGAGGCATCTCAAAGGCACCCCCCCTCCCTTCTCCCCCACCCCGTTCTCTCTCCCATCTGTCTCCGTCCAGCCCTTCCCTTTGAGTCTTCATGGTCGTCATGCTGGTTAGTTACATGTGCTGAGGCCATTGCCAAAGCCACAATTTCGTGATCATCGTTTAATTGTTTTTACATTTTGGCTACGACTCAAAAGTTCTCTCTCTCTCTCTTTGCGATCTGCCTTTCAGTTAGCTTCATACTATAGGAGCCACTTCTGAGAATTTTCAATAGTCGCACCAATATAGGAGGCCCCCCCTTGCTCAGTAGTTCTTCACCACTGAGTGCAATGGCTACAATGAGCTCATGGCCAATCCAGGGTTCAACATAAACTGCACTTGGTGGTATAAATTACTGAGCGAGAGGGGCCACTTATTGTATGAAGCTAACTAAAGACCGTTCATCCAAGAGAGGGACAGCATTCGAGTTGCAGCGATGATGTGAAAAAACAATTGTTATGTTGAAAACAAAATTCTGACATTGGCAATGGTCTCGTCTCCGCACACGTAACCAGCATGACGACCAGAAATGCTCCGTGGAGTCCCCTCTCCCCCACCCTGTTCTCTCTCCCATCTATCTCCGTCCAGCCATTCCCTTTGAGGACCACAAATCAAAGTAGATCTGACCATGCACACTTCACGGCAGAGCCAACAATTTGAGGCGTCCCCCTCTTTCTGTTGCATAACCCCTGTTTCTCTCCTTGCTACCCGTCCCTTGGAGGACCTCGATTCAAAGTACATCTGACCGGTCTTCATGTCAAGAGCCTGCAAAATGTGGCACCTCATACGCTCCCCCACCTTCTCTCTCATGTTCACCCTGTTTTCTAATCCTTGCAGCCCTTCCTTTGAGGACCTTGATTCGAAGTACATCCGGCCGTTCTTCACCGCTGAGCCTGCACCTGATACACGACGAAAGGAGGGTGCAGGGGCGGACAGGGCGGGTGAGAGGGACAGAGGTGGAGGAGTGGGAGGGGGAGTGGGAGGAGTGGGAGGAGGAGTGGGAGGAGGGAGGTCGCCCCAAATCACCTCACCACAGAGGAGAGGGGCCAGTGGTGTTGGCAGTGGTGGTGCTACTCCTGCTGCTGCTGGCGGGCTTTCAGGGAGTTTATTGGAACGAAGAAGCTCTTTCCGGTCTGGTTCGCCCACCACACGTAGCACACAGGGAGGTTCGGGAGAAGCGGGAGGCTTGAGAGGAGTGGGAGGGGGGGAATCACCGAAAGCAACCTCCCCGCAAAGGAGGGGTGACGCGGTAGGGCCGTTTGGGAGTCCTCCGGATAAGAAGGGTATTTTCCAGCTGGGTTCGCCTGTGCCTGCACGTGGTGCACGATAACTCCCAAGGGCGGCTTGATCTCCTTTTGTACAGTGCATTATATTACATTAAAGTGTTACGATGCGATTACCGTATGTAGCTTACAAACAGTAACTGGGTTTAAAAGGCATTAGAATCATTGTGTCTAAGAGCATGGCCTGTGATGGCTCAGAACAATATTCTCATGCCTGCAGCACTATGATTGTTGCAGTACAGGGCCTGTGCTAGGATTTTGGGCACCCTGAGCCATCAGGGTAACTTTTGAAAAATCTCTGAAATGCCCTGATTCTTCAGGGCAAATTTTTCTGGCCATCCTGAAATTTCAGGGCACCAGCAGAAATTCATCTGGATGATTCAGGGCAAAAAATATGAAAGGAGGGGAAGGCACGAAAGGAGCAGGTTGTTCACTGGTTTCACTTCTACTGGCGGAGCAAAAACATTGGTGGGGGAGGGGTGAGGACAAAACTAGCACACACACCCTCCAGCCTCCTTCCTCCCCTCTCTCCCTCTCCCTCTCTCCCCCCTCCACCCTTTCTCCCCTTCCAACGAGTCAGGGAATCCCTCTACATTCACCCTAACGCTTCAGGGCAAAAATTCACTGCCATTCTGAAATTTCAGGGAAAAACACAAGGATCATCCTGACGTCATAGGGTAAATTTCAGCATCATTCTGAAATTCCAGGGCAAACTTAAGACACCATCCTGAAATCAGGGTAATCAGGATGTTTTGCCCGATATCGTGGGCCCTGTTGCAGTATATCACAGCTTGTTTGCTGCTATTGCAATAGTAGCGTATTCTTACTTTAAACAGAAAAATTTCAGATAGAAATTTGAGTTGCGAATGCCCGTAGCGGATTTTGTTGTAACGCAGTTTCGAATCTCACTGTTTTGGCAAGCTCTCCCCCCTCAGTGTCGACATTTCTCGCGTAGAAGTCAGATTCTGTGGTCGCTTGCTGTAACCACAAGTTCGCCATGTCGTCAGACCCGCCGTGTTACCTTCCAGATGACTCGGACGAATCGCCCGAGCATAGCGACGATAACTGGGATAGCTCTAGCGAGGATACTGGTAAACGGAGAGAAGCCAAGGAGAAGGCAGATGTAGTCTCGGCGATTTTGCTGGCGGCAGCAGCGTCGGATGCGGAGAGCCGTCCAATTGGCGACGATGAGGTGGACGCGGTGCTGCGAGAGCTAGGCGTTAGTAACAATGACGTCAGCAACGACGTCAGCAGAGACTGTATCGAGGGAAGCAATAATGGAGGGGAGCCTCGGAGAAAGGAGGGAGAAGAGTCGGGAGGAGAGAAGAGAGGGAAGGAGAGAGGAGGAAGTGGAGGCGAAGGGAGAGGAGAGAGGAGATTCGAGGACAGAGGAGGAGAAAGCGAAGCAGATAGAGGCAGAGAGAGTGAGAGCGTGGGGAACGGCGAGCCGTGTGAACAGGGTGGGGAAATGGGTAAAGAACGGTTGAGAGAGATGGGGAGGGAGAAGGACGGGGAGAGGGAGGGAGAAGATCAGGAGAGGAAGGGGAAGGAGGAGAGAGTAGAGAGGGAGGACGAGAGGAAGAGAGAAAAGGGGAGGAGGGAGCAAGAGAGGGAGAGGGAGAGGGAGAAACGGGAGGAGGAGGAGGGGAAGGAGAAGGAGAAGGTGAGGGAAGAGGAGAGGAGGAGGGAGGCGGAGAGTGAGAGAGTGAGGAGGAGAGGCACAGGCAGGTCCCTGTGGTCGCACGGGTGGTTGCCGGGGAAAAGACACGCGGATGAGGTGAGGCGTGGGGAAAGAATGATCAGGAGGAGGGGCACAGCACAGGCAGGTCGCTGTGGTCACATGGATGGTGCTGGGGAAAAGACACGCAGATGAGGAGAAGTGTCGGAAGGGGTGGGGTAAGGTATGGGTATGTCAGCTACACACTGTGGCTTAGGTGAGAGGAACAGGCAGGTCCCTGCCCATCCATGCCCATCCATGCCCATGCCCATCCATGCCCATGCCCATCCATGCCCATGCCCATCCATGCCCATCCATGCCCATGCCCATCCATGCCCATCCATGCCCATGCCCATCCATGCCCATCCATGCCCATGCCCATCCATGCCCATCCACGCCCATGCCCATCCATGCCCATCCATGCCCATCCATGCCCATCCATGCCCATGCCCATCCATGCCCATCCATGCCCATGCCCATCCATGCCCATCCATGCCCATGCCAATCCATGCCCATCCATGCCCATCCATGCCCATGCCAATCTATGCCCATCCATGCCCATCCATGCCCATCCATGCCCATGCCAATCCATGCCCATCCATGCCCATCCATGCCCATCCATGCCATCCATGCCCATCCATGCCCATGCCCATCCATGCCCATCCATCCATGCCCATGCCCATCCATGCCCATCCATGCCCATCCATGCCCATCCATGCCCATCCATGCCATCCATGCCCATCCATGCCCATCATGCCATGCCCATCCATGCCCATCCATGCCATCCATGCCCATCCATGCCCATCCTGCCATCCATGCCCATCCATGCCCATCCATGCCCATGCCCATCCATTCCCATCCATGCCCATCCATGCCCATCCATGCCCATCCATGCCCATCCATGCCCATCCATGCCCATGCCAATCCATGCCCATCCATGCCCATCCATGCCCATCCATGCCCATCCATGCCCATCCATGCCCATCCATGCCCATGCCAATCCATGCCCATCCATGCCCATCCATGCCCATCCATGCCCATCCATGCCCATCCATGCCCATCCATGCCCATCCATGCCCATGCCCATCCATGCCCATCCATGCCCATGCCCATCCATGCCCATCCATGCCCATCCATGCCCATGCCCATCCATGCCCATCCATGCCCATGCCCATCCATGCCCATCCATGCCCATCCATGCCCATCCATGCCCATCCATGTCCATGCCCATCCATGCCCATCCATGCCCATCCATGCCCATGACCATGCCTATGCGGTCCATGCCCATACGCACAGCCATACTCATGCCATCTCTCTGCCCACCCAACCTCTGCTCACCTTCACCGCAGGACGAGAACCAGCAGGAGTGGCGGCAGCACGGCCGGCATTTCCTGGTCGTCACCAATGCGGGCAAGCCCGTCTTCTCACGGTGATTGCCTGCCTGCCTACCAGGAGCATTTGGGAGCTGTTGTTGAGCTGTTGAGACGCTCGCCTCGCCCTTGCCGCCGACCCGCACCTTGGTTCTCGCGAAGTGTTGAAGTTCAACAAGGGACATTGACATTGGGACCAATGATGATTTTGATCTACACTCATTTCTCACTCACGCCTGCACCATCGACATTGGGACTTTTGCCCCAACCCGTTACAAGGGAGAGCTAGCAGCGTTCAGTTGAGTTGAGGTAGCTGCTGGATTGTGAGGCGACCCAAAAGTCAACAAGGGCAGGCTAGCAGCGTTAAGGTAGCTGCTGAAGCTTCTGATGTGCTCCAGGTTCCTGTATCTGCGCTTTCCCGTCCACCCCCCCCCCCCCCTTGCCACGCTGCCCTCCGCTTTTGAGTCGACTCAAAAGCTTTCCCGTCCACCCCCTTGCCACGCTGCCCTCCACTATGCGCCTGGACCCCTCAGGTATGGTGATGAGTGCAAACCAACCAGCCGCATTTGGCTGGGGTGCTGCAGTGCAGGTTTTGATTTGCTCCTTGTGACGTGGTTTAAGGTTTTATTCGGGAGGTCTAAAAAATAACCTTACATCACGTGCTTCTCCTTTCAAACCTCTTCCTTTCTCCCCTCCTCTCCCCTTTCCCTCCCCACATCATCTACCCAGGTACGGGGACGAGTACAAGCTAGCAGCGTTCGGAGGGGTGCTGCAGGCGCTGGTGGCGTATGTGGAATCGACAGGAGACCACATCCGGAGCATTGCTGCTGGGCTGCATCAGGTGGGCTGGGCTGCATCAGGTTACTGTTGCATGAGATTCACCAGGTGCATGTGCCATGACGTGCATGGCTTTGGCATGACATGACATGGCATGACATGACATGGCATGGCATGGCCTTGGCTTGTATGGCGATGCCTAAAATTCCCTCTTCCCTCCGCCACCCCTGTTGTCACTGGCTGGCAGGTCCTCTTCCTCGTGCACGGCTCCTTCTACCTGGTGGCCATCACAAATGCTTCTCCCCTCCAGCTCCCCCCGTTCCGCATCTTTCCACCCTCCAACCCCTCCCTCACCCACACCCTGTCCCCCCCTGTCAAAGGTCCTCTTCCTCGTGCGCGGCTCCTTCTACCTGGTGGCCATCACAGATGCGGGCGAGCCGGAGCCAATCATAGAGCGACAGCTGGACCACCTCCACAAGATGGTGAGAGGAGATGGAAGGAAGGGATGTGTTACCATCCGTGGACCCTATTCTCAGACCAAAAGCACATTTGGGGAATTTTCAAAAGTTTTTCTAGTATTACTTGAGATCTTCCTGTCTGATAGAATGGAACTTGAGTCTTGAGTCACATTTTACTCTCCATTGTCGGAAGGATGTACACCGTTTCCTATGCAGCCATGTCCCTTTTGAGTCGACTCAAAAGCGTTTCCTATGCAGCCATGTCCCTCCCTCACATCATCAGCTCGTGTTCTTTCCGTAATAGAGAATCTCTCCCATTATTAAACAGTTCTCCCCCCCCGCCTCCTCTCCCCGGGACCTCGTGCTGCTCGCATCAGTCATTGTAAAGTCGTTTCTGTGTCGAGAAAGTTTCAAAACTCATGCACATTCCACTCCGCCATCTCCCCCTCAACTCCCTCCTCCAACCCTCCTTTTCCCCCCACCAGTCCCTCATGCTACTGACATCAACCATCCAGAGGTCTCTCCTGTTTTGCAATGTCTCATCTCATCACTCATGCAGACCCGTTCAACGCATCTCTCATGCCCTCTTCCCTTGCCTTCCCGCCTCCCCCCTCCCACCCCCACCAGCTCCTCATGCTGCTGACGTCAGCCATTGAGAGGTCGTTTCTGCGCAACCCCAAGTTTGACATCCGGCCACTGCTGGGCGGCACGGATCGTCTCTTCTCCGCTCTCATCCACTCCTTCTCCTGGTAACTCGTCACCCCTCGCAAAGTCAAAGAGAAGGGCACACGCACACACACACACACACACACACACACACACACACACACACACACACACACACACACACACACACACGCACGCACGCACACACACACGCACGCACGCACGCACACCCTTCTAACAATGCCATACCATTGTATGCCTTGCCCCCCTCACTCCCAAGACCGCTGCTGCTTCTGATGCTGTTGGTGGTGCTTCTGCTGTTGGTGCTGCTGCTGCTGCTGCTGCTGCTGCTGCTGCTGCTGCTGCTGCTGCTGCTGCTGCTACGTCATGCTTCCATTATCCACGTACGCCCTTGCCCTCCCCATCCCACTCACAGGGACCCAGCCAGCTACCTCTCGTCCATGCGCTGTCTGCGCATACCGGCATGGGTGCGCACAACAGTGAGCGGCGCAATCAAGACGGCTGCCGCCGCCTCCCCTGCGCTCTTCGCGCTGGTCTTCTCGGGCTTTGAGGTGGTGACAGTGGCGCACAGGAAGCGAGAGCCTCTTCACTCCGATGACATTTTCCTGCTGCTCAACTTCCTCAACGCCTCAGATTCCTTTCGGTAAGACTTAAACTGGTCTTGAGTAAGTACCCTCCAAAAGTCACCTGGACTTAGACTGGTCTTGAGTAAGTACCCTCCAAAAGTCACCTGGACTTAGACTGGACTTGAGTACCCTCCTGCCATACCTGTGCTCTTCACGCGCCTACCTCCCCTGCGCTCTTCGCGCTGGTCTTCTCGGGCTTTGAGGTGGTCACAGTGGCGCACAGGAAGCCAGGGCCCTTGCATTCAGACGACGTCTTTCTGCTGCCTGCTCAACTTCCTCAACGCCTCAGACTCACTCTGGTAAGCTGTAGTTTGGTCTCTATGTAAGTCGCTGCCTCCTCCGTGCCCTTTGCGTCACACTGATCGTCTGGGCTTTGAGGTGGCCACAGTGGCGCACAGAGAAAGCCAGAGCCAGAGCCTTTGCACTCAAGTGTCGTGTTCCTCCTACTAGCTGGTTTCTGAGAATTTTCAAAAGCCAGCTCGTATCACAGTGGTGCACAAAAAGCGAGAACCTCTGCACTCAAGTGACGTCTTCCTTCTACTGAACTTCCTCAATGCTTCCGATTCCTTCTGTATGCCATCAAGTGGTCTCGTCTGTGTGACACGTCAAGACGTACAGGGTTAGGGTTTCGCTGTGTAAGCTGATTCAGAAGTTGCTGCTCCTGCTACCCCTAGGGCTTCACGAGCTTGATGCAATATTTGAGTCGTCTCTTTTAATAAGATGGCTGCATCCTTGACTTGCTTTTCCGTGCATCTCCTCCTGCGCCTCTCCTCTCCCGCGCTACAACCCTCCCATCCAGAACATCACCTGAGTCACGCCAGTGTGTCTGCCTCACTACAACCCCGCCGCCTTCCTCTATGCCTATTTGCACTACTGGGCGGCAGAGCAACCGCTGCTTTGCACTCGTGATTCAATCCCCCTTGTCTTCCCGTCTCTCCTTGCCTCCCTCCCACCCACCCAGAACATCCCCCGAGTCCTTCACGCCAGTGTGTCTCCCTCACTACAACCCCGCCGCCTTCCTCTATGCCTATGTGCACTACTGGGCGCCACACCAGCCTCTGCTTTGCACTCGTAATTCAGCCCCCTTTCTCTTCCCCTCCCTCCCAAATCCTACCCTCCCAGAACATCACCCGAGTCCTTCACGCCCGTGTGTCTGCCTCACTACAACCCAGCCGCCTTCCTCTATGCCTATGTGCACTACTGGGCGGCAGAGCAGCCACTGCCGCCCACTCCTTGCACCATCCACTCCCACTCCTCCCTCCACTCCAACGCCCCCCACTCAAACTCCTCCCGCTCCTCCTCCCGGTCGCAAGCAAGTGCTGGTGCTGACGCCACAGCTAGTAACAACAACAGCAACAACAGCAAAAGCAACATCAGCAGCAGCGGTAACAACAACAGCAGCGACAACAGCAATAGGAGCAGTGATGGCAGTAGCATTACCGGCGGTGAAAAGGAGACTGGGTCTGGGGCGCCAGTGTACGATCACCACCAGTCGCGGGGAGACACGGGGCTGCTGCTTCTTTCCGCTGATCCCAACAGCTTCCACTCACTCAAAGACGTCAGGTGAGGTGTGGTGAGGTGTGGTGCAGTACAGTGAGGTGCAGCAGGGTGGGTAGCGGTATCAGGGAAAGCAGCAAGGATTCAGGGCACCATTGTAACATCACCACCAGTCGCGGGGAGACACGGGGCTGCTGCTGCTCTCTGCAGATCCCAACAGCTTCCACGCACTCAAGGATGTGAGGTGAGGCGAGGTGTGCTGAGGTGTGGTGCGGTGCGTTGCGGTGTGGTGAGTTCGAGCGATGAGAGGAACAGCAGTACGGCGCCATTGCACGACCATCACCAGTCGCGGGGAGACACAGGGCTGCTGCTGCTCTCTGCAGATCCCAACAGCTACCACGCACTCAAAGACAAACCACAAGCACCTGCGTATCATGTGATATTTCAAAACGAGTCCCCTCATTCTTCCTCCTGCAAAGGTCGCAATGGAACGCACACTGACTCTCTCAGTGTCTTTGCTCCGCGCCCATTATAGAAGGATAACGGTTGTCTTCTCCTGCACTTAAAAAGAGGGCACAGGGGCCTGCAGTGCAGTGCAGTGCAGTGCAGTGCAGTGCAGTGCAGTGCAGTGCAGTGCAGTGCAGTGCAGTGCAGTGCAGTGCAGTGCAATGCGTTGCGGAGCAGTACGTCTACATGTAATTTCCTGGAAGATGTTAGATCATCTAGGTTTATTCCCAGTTTAGTCATGACCACACTACTCAAACCCCTCCCTTCTTTGTTGCATTGCAGGGTGGCAATGGAACGCACGCTGCTACAGTGCAACATCTTCCAGGAAATTTCCTCTGCAGCTTCCTCTCCTTCTCGCGGCGTCACTGTTCATCTCGTCCAATCACACATCGACTCGATCGCCGCCGCTTCTACTGCAGCCAATAGGAGCGCTCGCACCACCACCACCGCCACTACTAGTAGCAGCAGCAGCAGCAGCAGCAGCAGCAGTAGTAACAACGCTAGGCTCTCTCCCTTTCCTCCCTCCTCTCCTCGCTTCACTACCCCTTCTCGCATCGCCACCACCACTGCCACCAACCCTCCAACCACCACCACAACCACAAAATCCTCCTCCTTTCCTCAACGCACCTCCTCCCCTGCTCTCCGCTCCTCCTCTCGCCCTCTCCGTTCCTCCTCCCCTGCCCGCCGCTCCCCCTCCCCCTCTTCCCGCGGCTCTTCCTCCCCCTTCCGATCTCCCGCCCTCCTCCCCTCCCCCCAACCCCCTGGGTTGCCCTTTCCTGATCCATACGGACTAGGCCCTGGCATGGGGTGTGATATTATCCCCATGGGCCAATCAGAAAACGGTGCTGACGAGGATGATGATTACTCAGGGGCGTTCGACCAATCAGAGGGCCAGGGGGTGTTTGGTGGTGGGGGGGAGAGGGAGGGGGAGGGGGGAGGAGAAGGTGCGGAGGGAGGGGAAGGGGAGGAGGAAGGAGAGGAGGGAGAGGAGGAGGAGGATGAGGAGGAGGAGGATGGAGCAGTGTTAGCACTGGAAAAGCTGAGAAGTGTATTGGGAGGGGGCATGGCTGTGGGTATGGGCATGGGTACGGGTATGGGGATGGGCCAGCATGAAAACGATTCACCAGTGACAGAAGTGCCAATATCTGTTCCTCTTGAGCCATCCTCTGCTCCACCCAACCGGTCCCTCCCTCCTCCTCTCACCATTCCCACTCAGATATCCCCTCAGGTGCCGGCACAGCCACTCACACAGACACCCACACGGATGGCAGCACAGGTCGCAGTGCAGATAGCAGCGCAAGCAGCGCCCATGTGGGGCCCGCAGGGTCTGCTGCACTTCGTGTTCCGCAGCGTGCCTCTGCGCCAGTTCGTCCTGGCGGAGTTCCCCTCAGCGCTGAGCGACAGACGGCAGCAGAAGACGTGAGTGCATGGGGGTTGGGTGTGAGTGCTGGCTGGTTGGTAAGGTAGGGCTTGTAAAGCAAGTGAGCTGCCTCTGCGCCAGTTCGTCCTGGCAGAGTTCCCCCCGGCACTCAGCGACAGGCGGCAGCAGAAAACGTGAGTGGGGGAAGGGGGGAAGTGGCATGAGGGAGGGATGCTGAGTGGGTGGGTGGGTGGGTGAGTGGGTGGTGTTTGTTGGGTAGATGGGCTGCCTCTGCGGCAGTTCGTCCTGGCAGAGTTCCCTGCAGCACTCGGTGACAGGCGGCAGCAGAAAAGGTGAGTGCGCGGTGAGAGAGTTGGTGGAGGGATGCTGAGCGGGTGGGTGCGCTGCGCAGGGGGCGTGGCGTGGGAAAGGGGGGCTGGACCGGCAAAGGCTGGTGAGCTTCTGTTTTGAGACGTCTCAAAGCACTCCTTTTTTCACCTGGACCGGCAAAGGCTGGCGAGCTTCTGTTTTGAGACGTCTCAAAACACTCCTTTTTTCACCTGGACCGGCAAAGGCTGGTGAGCTTCTGGCCTTCTAGGGCAGATGGGCTATCAAAGCAGGCACTCCTCTGTGATAGCCTTTCTGTGAAAGAAGGGGAGGCGAGTGAAATGGACTTCTGCGCCAGTCCGTCCTGGACTCATTTCACTCACCTCCCCTTCCTCCCCCCCTCCGCTTCTGTCCCTCCCTTGCCTCTCCTCACACCCATTGCTCCCCGTCCCGCTGCTCTCCCCCTCCAACGAACAGTCTTCTGCGGGCTTACCAGACCATGCACTCCTCCATGACAGCTCAGACCCCCGTCACCGCACCGCACGCTACTGGCGGCGCCACGTCAGCAGCCTCCTCTGCCATGTCAGCATCCTCGTCGTCCGCGACAGCGTCATCATTGCTGGCTGCGATGGAAACGGGTGGCAGCTGCCCCGTGCCGGGCGGCATCAAGACGCAGTACAGACGAACCAAGGACTTCGGTGAGACATGCCCTCTTCTCTGAAGATTTGAGTTGCATGCGAGTATCCCTCTACTCCACTTGAGCGACTCTGAGGCACCTTAGAAGGCGCTTCGCTACCTGCAACCTGAGCGTGCCAACCTGATGACATGGCTTTTGAGACGCCTCAAAACCTGAGCGTGCCAACCTGATGACATGGCTTTTGAGGCGCCTCAAAACCTGAGCGTGCCGACCTGATGACATGGCATCCATCGTATGATTATACCCCTCTCCCCCCATGCCCTCCTGCAGTGCTCCTCTCCTGGCGAACACCTGACTTTGAGATCATGGCTGCATTCGACCCTCTCGCAACTAAGGTGCGGTTAGGGGCATGGCATGGTGGTGGCATGGGATGGTGGTGGCATGGCATGGTGGTGGCATGGCATGGTGGTGGCATGGCGTGGTGGTGGCATGGCATGGTGGTGGCATGGCGTGGTGGTGGCATGGCATGGTGGTGGCATGGCCTGGTGGTGGCATGGCGTTGTGGTGGCATGGCATGGTGGTGGCATGGCATGGTGGTGGCATGGCATGGTGGTGGCATGGCATGGTGGTGGCATGGCATGGTGGTGGCATGGCATGGTGATGGCATGGCATGGTGGTGGCATGGCGTGGTGGTGGCATGGCGTGGTGGTGGCATGGGATGGTGGTGGCATGGCATGGTGGTGGTATGGCGTGGCTTAGCATGGTAGTAGCATGTCCGGGGTGAGAAAACGAGGGTGATGCCACTAGGCCCCAACCCCCCCATCTCCAGTAACCTGGTTGCTGGTGCTGTCAACCTTACCTCAGGTATCCTAAATATATTGAACGTAGACACTAGGTGCTGGCACAAGCTGCCAGCAGCAAGAGAAGGTTTTGAGAACTCTCAACAGTGACAAGCATAACCAGCAGCAGGAACCAGAGCTTCCCCCTTCTTTCCTATCAAACTTTCATTCACTTCCTCCTTTGCTACTCCCCACATCCCTTCACATCCCTTCACACCCCTCTTCTCCCTTCCCACTCCCCCACCAATTTATGTTGTTCAGAAGCCGGCCATTGCAGTGTGCAATGCCATCTGCCACATGCTGCAGCAGCTCGAGTCGGAGCTTTTCCTCCCAGGCTCCGTCGTCTTCTAACCTGTGCCAAGACTCAGAATTACCTGTCACAACAGCCCAATCCTCTTTTGAGGTGCCTCAAAAGCCATCTGCTGCCACATGCTGCAGCAGAGCTTTTCCTCCCAGGCTCCGTCGTCTTCTAAACTACCACTCCATTATCTCCTTCCTAGCCAGTACAGTTCTTGTTTTTGCTACTGTGCTTGCGTTGTTATACTGGGTACATTATCCTAAGGCTCATGTAACACCAGTCATTCTCCTTAAAAAAAGCATTCTTCTTTACTGATACGGTAAAGACCAGGTACCACTGGTTACAATACAATATTCCACCAGTAACAGGGAAACCACTCTTCTTCAGTGGTAACGACAGATGGCCCTGCACTGGTTACAGCCGAAGACCCGGTGCTCATATCGCCGCTTTGATCCCTGGCTTCAGGAGAATCTGGTCTGCCTGGGGCAGGTGCAACTGGTGCAGGCTCGTCTGGAGAAGGCTCTGCCTGAGACAGCTGCACATCCATCAGTGCCCCGCACTGGTTACACCTGAAGGCCCCAGGTCCATTGGTTACACTATCACACGCCACAGTTACCACATCCGTCAGTGCCCCGCACTGGTTACACCTGAAGGCCCGGCGCTCGTCTCCCTGCTTTGGTCCCTGGCGACAGGAGAATCCGGTCTGCTTGGGGCAGCTGCAGCTGGTGCAGGCTCGTCTGGGGAAGGCTCTGCCTGGGACAGCTGCAGAGGCTGTTGAGATAGAGGCTGGAAAAGCGCATGGGGCAGGGAGAGGGGTGGATATCCAAAGAGGAAAAGGCAGTTTTAAGTCACGGGAAGAAAATCGTCTGCTTGGGGCAGGTGCGGCTGGTGCAGGCTCGTCTGGGGAAGGCACTGCTTGAAACAGCTGCACAGGCTGCTGCGAAAGAGGCTAAAAGACGTATGATGAATGATGAGGGGTTGGAACTTAACAGGGAAAATGTTGGTGTTACTTTGAAATTTCTCAAAAGTAACAGCAACACGAATGGTGAGGGTTTGGTTTGGAATCAAACAGGAAAAATGCCTTGTCGAGTCAAGGTGTGCTACAGCCTATGCTACAGCCTGTGCTATAGCCTATGTGCTACAGCCTGCTACAGCCTACGTGCAACAGCCTATGTGTAAGACCCACGCTGCCACAACTCACCGCGGTGTGATCAGCCAGAGCAGGGAAGGCAGCAGCAGAGACGCAGGCATATCTTGAGATGAATTGGAATACACCCTGCTTCATCGCACTTGCATCACCGCACCTGCTTCACCGCACCTGCTTCATCGCACCTGCTTCACCGCACCTGCTTCATCGCAACTGCTTCACCGCACCTGCTTCACCGCACCTGCTTCACCGCACCTGCTTCAACCTACACTGATTCAACTCACCGCGGTGTGATCATTGAGGGCAGGGAAGGCAGCAGAAAAAGGACCGGGCGGCAGGATGGTTTTCAAGTCGACTAGAAGATCAGCCCAAACTTGACTACCAACACTCGCCGCGCTTGAACCTACCTACCTACCAAGACTACCAAATGTTTGAGGAGCCTACGAAAATCAACCTACCTGTGTCAACTCACCGCAGTGTGATCCCCAAGGGCAGGGAAGGCAGCAGCAAAGGACCGGGCGGCAGGATGGTCGGCAGAGAGCGGGTGGGAGAGGGGAGCAGTGAGGGCAGCAGGGAGAGGCGGTATGGGGGCCTTGGGGCGGAGAACTCGAGCTCGGATGAAATCGTAGTAGTGCTGCAATGAGGAGGGGGGGAGAGATTGGAGGGTGGGAGAATGATATTCAGAGAGTGGGAGGGTGGGAGCGGTGAACAGCAAGAGAGGGAAGGAAAACAGAATGGGGGCCTTGGGGCGGAGGACTCTAGCTCGGATGAAATCGTAGTAGTGCTGCGATGGGGGAGGGGAAGATTGGGAGTGGGAGGGGTGGGCAGGGGTGAACAGCACGAGAGGCAGATAGAGGGGGTATGCAGGCCTTGGGGTGCAGGACTCGAGCTCGGATGAAATCGTAGTAGTGCTGCGAAAGGGGGGGACAGGGGGGTAGAGAGAGTGGGAGAATGAGAGGGCTGAACAGCTAGAGAGGCAGGGAGTGGCGGTATCTTGGCCTTGGGTTGGAGGACTCGAGCTCGGATGAAGTCGTAGTAATGCTGTGGGGATGGGAAGGGGGGAGAGGTGGGAGTGGGAGGTTGGGAAGGTGATAGGTGGGAGGTGAGGGCTGAACAGCAAGAGAGGCAGGGAGAAGTGGAATGCGGGCCTTGGGTTGGAGGACTCGAGCTCGGATGAAAGCATAGTAGTGCTGTGGGGATGGGAAGGGTGAAACTGGGAGGGTGGGAGGGCAAAACAGCTAGAGAGGCAGGGAGAGGCGATATGTGGGCCTTGGAGTGGAGGACCCGAGCACGGCACGGCACAGATGAAATCATAGTAGTGCTGTGGGGATAGGAAGGGAAGGAAGGAGAGTGAGAAATTAGTACTGGGAAAGCGTGTTAGAGGGGATTTTTGAGGCGCCTAAAAAAAAGTAGTGGGTAAGCGATTTTTTGAGGCGCCTAAAAAAAAGTAGTGGGAAAGCGTGTGGGTGAGAGGGGTGAACAGCAAGAGCGCCAGGGAGAGGCAGTATGGGGGCCTTGGGGCAAAGTACGCGAGCATGAATGGAATCGTAGTAGTGCTATGATTGGGGGGAAGGAGAGGGTGCTTTGAGTCGACTCAAAAAGGGGCCTTGGGGCAAAGTCCACGAGCATGAATGGAATCGTGGAAGTGCTATGATTGGGGGGAAGGAGAGGGTGGGAGAATGAGAGAGGGAGGGTGGGAGAATGAGAGAGGGAGGGTGGGAGAATGAGAGGGAGAGTGGGAGGGTGGGAGAATGAGAGGGAGAGTGGGAGGGTGGGAGAATGAGAGGGAGAGTGGGAGGGTGGGAGAATGAGAGGGAGAGAGGGAGGGTGGGAGGGGTGAACAGCAAGACGGGGAGGGGAAACGGATTGGGGAATTTGGAATGCAGGAATGAATGAAATCGTATTAGTGCTGTGCTGCAGGGAGAGAGAAAGAGAGAAGTACCTGCAGTGCCGGACTGGGTGTGTCGTCTGGTCTCAGCTTCTCATCCTCCTCTACCCCCTCCTCCTTACATTCTCAAGAGTTCTAAAAAATATCTTGGCATGCAAGAGAAAGGGCAACCTACCTGCAGTGCCGGGCTGGGTGTGTCGTCTGGTCTCAGCTTCTCATCCTCCCCCACCCCCTCCTCCTTATTGTACTCCTCGTCATCCTCCCCCACCTCACTGCACCGCACTAGAGACATCGCCTGGACCAGCGCTGCTGCTGCGCTGCTCTGGACAGCTGTCGGCTGCTGATTGGGCGGCGCGGCTTCTAGCGACGGGAAGGAGAACTCCCGGATGTCCTCACTGAAGGGGATGGCGTTGAATAGCAGCAGGTCGGGCTGGTCATGTGACATGAACACAGGGCGGGAGAGAGGGGGGAGGGATGAGGTTAGATGTTGCGGGGGGGAGGAGGTGACACACAACGTAAGGGACACCCGGATGTCCTCGCTGAAGGGGATGGTGTTGAATAGCAGTAGATCCGGCTGCGTGGGAGGGGAGCGGAGAGGAGGGGAGGGGAGGGGAGGGGAGGGGAGGGGAGGGGAGGGGAGGGGAGGGGAGGGGAGGGGAGGGGAGGGGAGGGGAGGGAGAAGGGGCATGGTAGTGGAAGAGCGTCTGGTGTGGCTTCTAGCGACGGGCAGGAGAACTCCGGGATGTCCTCCTCACTGAAGGGGATTGTGTTGAAGAGCAGTAGATCGGGCTGGTTGGGAGAAAAAGGGGGGAGACGGGGCATGGTGATGGGAACACGTCTGGTGTGGCTTCTAGGGAGGGGAAGAAAAACTCCCGGATGTCTTCACTGAAGGGGATGGTGTTGAAGAGCAGTAGATCGGGCTGGTAATGCGGCAGAAAGAGTGGGTTGGACAGGGGAGTGGGGGTGTTTGGGGGGTGAGAGGAGAGGGGGAAGGGGCATGGTGAAGGGAACACGTCTGGGATGGTTTCTAGGGAGGGGAAGGAGAACGTGCGGATGTCCACACTGAAGGGGATTGTGTTGAAGATTAGTAGGTCAGGGTGGTAGTCTGCAGTGGGTCGGCCAGTCCTCATGGCTGCGTGACAAAAGTTGAAAATTTGAGACGTCTCAAAGCTAAACTTTCATCGCCGGAAGTGGATGGTGCTGACGAGCAGCAGGTTGGGGTGGGAGTCTGCAGCGGTTCGAAACCATCTAATCTCAACTGCAGCTGCTCGGCCAGTCCTCATGGCCGAACGCCAGCATCAATCCCATCCGTACGACACGCACACCAAACGCTGCATGCACACACTCACCACCACCACCACACAGACATCCCCCTCTTAGGAAATACCTTTCTCGCTCTACACGGAGTCAGCACACTAAATGCAACGCCAACTCACTCACCACAGTTTCATCATCCTCCTCCGCAAATCCTCGCTTCCCTCTGCACCAAGGCGTCAGCACGCCGAGTGCATTTCATCCATACGACAGCGCCTCACAAAGCAATGCACTCACCACCGCTTCATCTTCTTCCTCTGTAAACCCTCGCTTCCCTCTACACCAAGGCGTCAGCACGCGGATCACAGGCCATCCGTACAACACCAGAAGAAGCAAGCATGCAATGCACTCACCACAGATTCATCTTCCTCCTCTGTAAATCCCCTCTTCCCTCTACACCACGGCGTCAGGACACCGAGTGCAACACCCGAGTCCGCTCGGTTGGTGAGCTTGAACCGCACGATGGCCACCTTTTCGGAAGATTCCATGGCCTGTGCAAGGGCTGAGAGGGCGAGAGCGGCCTTGGTGTTGCTGGGCTCTGGGAGGAGAATGGCCGTGTCCTTTATAAAGTAGTGCCTGGGATGGGCACAACGAAATGTGTGAGGTACAGGAAGGAAGGGTGTGAGAGGGCGAGCGAGCGAGGCCTTGGTTGGTGTTGGTAGACTCGGGGAGGAGTATGGCCATGAGGAAATGTGTGCTTGTCTTTGAGGAAATAGTAAATGTTCCTTCTTTCCACAATTACCTCGGAATCTGGTCTCGCATAGTGAAGCCAATTATTTGGATCCCCTTCTCTGCCTGAAACCGGTTTGCCATGCGGTCATACTCACTCACTGGGATGACCTGGTGATTATTGGCAGGGGGAAGTGCGGGAGAATGGGGGAGTTGGTTGGAGGACGTACTACTTGATAACCGCACTAACATATCAAGTCGGCTGGGATTTTCATCACCGGCAGGAGAAGCAAACAGCAATACTGACTTCTGAGTCGACTCAAGAGTCACCCCGATTTGATTTTGACTCACCACCCAGATGAGGCCCACACTGGACTGCTAACTTGTGTTGACCTGAGTTGACTTCAGTTGACTCCAATTGACTTGAGTTGACTCACCACCCACCTGGGGCCCATACTTGTACGCCCTCACAAGCTCATCCAACCCCACTGTCTCAAGCTCTTCCCCCGCTCCCCCTCCTCCCTCCGCCCCACCCCCTTCCTCCCCTTCCCCTCCTCCATCTCCCCCGTCCCCTCCGCCCTCCCCGTGCCCATCTGCACCGCTCTCCACCACTCGGTACTCTCTCTCCATCTTCACATCTCCAGTGGCGGAGGGATCGGAGGGAGGGGCGAGGCGGGAGAGGAGCTTGAGGGGAGGGAGGCGCTGAGGGAAGGTTTTCTTGTAGGACCAGACCTGGGGGAGAGAGTTAGAGAGGGATCCGGTGGGATGGGGAAGGATGAGAAAAGGGACTTCCTTGTCTCGTATGCCACAAATCACCTCTCCAACTGGCACCACACTCCACCGTTCTGCACTCCTGATCCTGCTTCACATCTCCAGTGGCGGAGGGATCGGAGGGAGGGGCGAAGCGGGAGAGAGGCGCTGGGGAAAGGTCTTCTTGTATGCCCGAACCTGGGGGTGGAGTGGGGGAGGAAAAACTTAAGGATAGGAAGGGGGGTGAAATGCAGCCACAGCGACGCATTCCTCACACTCACACGCACCTTGATGATGAATCACGCCTTGGTACGACGTGGTGGGCAGGGAAGCACTCGATGCTTCACTTCTCCGAGTGCAATGACACGTGCAGTGCAGTGCAATGCAGCCACACCAACGCATTCCTCACACTCACACACACCTTGATGGTGAATCCTGGCGCCACCAGCAGCAGGTCGCCTGGGGGCAGCATGCGCGGTTCCACCGATCTATGCTCATAATGGAAGAGCTGCAATTCTAAAAAGTAGCGCTTAAAAATGCACCAGCAGGTCGCCTGGGGGCAGCATGCGCGGTTCCACCTGGAACAGCTTGCCCCAAAGGCGCAACTGCTGCTGCCAGTGGCAGTGCCCAGACACCCAACCACTCGCAACACCCCTCCACACCACATCACACCTCTTGGGGCGCCTCGTCACCTTGATGGCAAAGCCAGGCGCCACCAGCAGCAGGTCGCCGCGGCAAAGCCAGGCGCCACCAGCAGCAGGTCGCCGCGGCAAAGCCAGGCGCCACCAGCAGCAGGTCGCCGCGGCAAAGCCAGGCGCCACCAGCAGCAGGTCGCCTGGGGGCAGCATGCGCGGTTCCACCGATCTATGCTCATAATGGAAGAGCTGCAATTCTAAAAAGTAGCGCTTAAAAATGCACCAGCAGGTCGCCTGGGGGCAGCATGCGCGGTTCCACTGATCTATGCTCATAATGGAAGAGCTGCAAGTCTAAAAAGCAGCGCTTAAAAATGCACCAGCAGGTCGCCTGGGGGCAGCATGCGCGGTTCCACCTGGAACAGCTTGCCCCAAAGGCGCAACTGCTGCTGCCAGTGGCAGTGCCCAGACACCCAACCACTCGCAACACCCCTCCACACCACATCACACCTCTTGGGGCGCCTCGTCACCTTGATGGCAAAGCCAGGCGCCACCAGCAGCAGGTCGCCGCGGCAAAGCCAGGCGCCACCAGCAGCAGGTCGCCGCGGCAAAGCCAGGCGCCACCAGCAGCAGGTCGCCGCGGCAAAGCCAGGCGCCACCAGCAGCAGGTCGCCGCGGTACGATGTGGTGGGCAGCACGCGTGGATTCACCCGATACAGCAGCATGCCCACTGCTGCTGCTGCTGCTGCTGGTGGCAATTGCGCTGCAGAGGCTTGCAAAGAAACAAATGATGAGAGAACACACATTGTGCCTCACCTTGATGGTGCATCCAGGGGCCACCAGCAAGTCGCCTCGGTACGATGTGGTGGGCAGCACTCGCGGCTTCACCCGGTACAGCATGCCCGCTGCTGCCAGCGACGCCACCACTCGCAGCTCCCCTCCACACACCACACCACCGCTCCCAACGCCTTTTTCCTCCTCCTTCTCCTCCTCCTCCTCCTCATCCGCCCCACCTCCTCCCTCCGCCCTTGCATCACCTGTCCCATTCTCTTCCCGTTTGCACCGTTTCCCGCACCTTCCCCCATCATCTGCCTCCTTCAATTTCTCCTGCTCTTCCCTTCGACCCCCGTGGACCCTGCAAGCCCCCGCATCAAAGAACCTTCTCAGCAGCTTCTCGTTCTCGTAAGCAACATCCCTGGCCTCAGCCCTTTCTCCTCCTGGGTCCCCATCGTCGTCTGCTCCTCCTGCCTCTGCCTCCTCGCCTTCCACCCTCCCGCTCAGCAGCACAGCGTGCAGAGCGATGCCATATTCGTGCATCTTCCCAGCCACCGTTGCCGCCTGGGAGAGACAAGAGACAAGAGGGTGATGGGGGGGGGATGATGGGAGGGGATGATGGGGATGGAGAAGGAGAATGTTGGGGGGTGGGGAGGTGGTGGTCTCAGCAGCACAGCGTGCAGAGCGATGCCATATTCGTGCATCTTCCCAGCCATCGTTGCCGCCTGGAGGGTGGCAGTTTGGGTGGGAGGGAGGGGCGAGGTCTCAGCAGAGGGGAGGGAGGGGCGAGGTCTCAGCAGAGGGGAGGGAGGGGCGAGGTCTCAGCAGAGGGGAGGGAGGGGCGAGGTCTCAGCAGAGGGGAGGGAGGGGCGAGGTGTCAGCAGTAGAGCGTGCAGAGTGATGTTGTAGCCCCTCAATTTCCCTGCTACCGTTGCCACCTGGGACAACGATATATATAAAGATAGGAGTGGGCTAGTGAAGTGGGGAAGTGCGGAAGCGGACTCAGGCGAAAAGAGGGCAGAAGAGGAGAAAGTGTGATAGCCCCCGCCAAAACCCCCGGCCTCAAAAACACCCCCGCCAAAACCCCCTGTATCTGTCCGTCCCCCTTTTCCACACACCTGCTCCTTTTTTGAGTCGACTCAAAAATCGACTTACTACACAAAGAGGAGAAAGTGGGGAAGCCCCCCCCGCCAAAACCCCCTGCATCTATCTGTCCCCCTTTTCCACACACCTGCTCCTCATTGGAGGCTTCGCTGGCCTCCTCCAATGGCGTGCCGCCACCTGTCAGCAGCATGACGCGCTTCACGCCCTTTGTGATTCCCAGAGGGCCCTTGGCGCGGATGAGCAGGTCTAAGGCCACCACAAGCGCGCTGAGCCCTGTGGGGAGGGGGCGGGGGGGGACACATACGGTACATATAGACAGACGGAGCAACGTGAAAGAACGAGTGTTTTGAGACGTCTCAAAACACTCCTTCTTTCTCGGAGGGGGCGGGGGGGGACACATACGGTACATATAGACAGACGGAGCAAGGGAGAGGATAGGTATTGAAGGCCCTCCGCCCCTTGGTCAGCCCCAGAGGGCCCTTGGCGCGGATGAGCAGGTCTAAGGACACCACAAGCGCGCTGAGCTCTGGGAGTGTGGGGGACGGAGAGGATACGGCCGCCACCAGGGCAGTGCAAAGAAGCACTCACCTCACTCACACCCTCTCTTCGGCCCCAGTGGGCCTTGGTGTTAGATTATACTACTCTTCTGTCTCCTGCATTGACCCTATAAACCCTAGGATAGAGATAGGCACCCAAACAATGTTTGGGTGCACAACTAGGGTTAACCCTAGATGGGGGTTGGAACCCAACCTTGGCCCAATTATTGGACCCCAAGGTTGGGTTGGAGGATTATTGGCCCCCCCAATAATGTTGGCCCACTTTTGACCAACATTATTGGGACCCCCCAATAATTCTCCAACCCAACTTATTGGTGGGGGCCAATAATGTTGGCTAGGTACCAACCACCCACCCTTTCCTTAGCTCCAACTATGTAAGCCCTCATCATTCCTAATCTATCTATCGGTTCAATTCTCACATGTTATCAGAGCCCTTACGGCTAACACCACTCAAGATCCTAGGACCATACTCTACCTCCCGCCGGCTCTGCCGTGCCCCTTGCGCCACTCAGCGCACCTCCCGCAGGCTCTGCCGTGCCCCTTGCGCCACTTAGCGCACCTCCCGCCGGCTCAGCCGTGCCCCTCGCGCCTCTCAGCGCACCTCCCGCAGGCTCTGCCGTGCCCCTTGCGCCACTTAGCGCACCTCCCGCCGGCTCAGCCGTGCCCCTCGCGCCGCTCAGCGCACCTCCCGCCGACTCTGCCGTGCCCCTCGCGCCATCTCGACGCCCCTCTCCTCACCACGTCCGCCCGCCGCGACAAACACGCCCGTCAGCCGCGGACGCGACGAACGCGCCCGTCAGCCGCGGACGCGACGAACGCGCCCGTCAGCCGCGGACGCGACGAACGCGCCCGTCAACCGCGGACGCGACGAACCCGCCCGTCAGCCGCGGACGCGACGAACGCGCCCGTCAGCCGCGGACGCGACGAACGCGGCCGTCAGCCGCGGACGCGACGAACGCGGCCGTCAGCCGCGGACGCGACGAACGCGGCCGTCAGCCGCGGACGCGACGAACGCGGCCGTCAGCCGCGGACGCGACGAACGCGTCCATCAGCCGCGGACACCGCGGAGACGCCCGGCAGCCGCGCACGCGACGAACGCGGCCGTCAGCCGCGGGCGCGACGAACGCGGCCGTCAGCCGCGGAGACGCCCACCAGCCGCGACGGACCCTGAATTAGGGTTTACTGCTACCGCCCGTGGAGCAGCCGGACCGCCCTGTCCCTCAAGACGGTGTCGTCCACCTCCCCTCCCTCCCTCCTCCTCCTCTCATGGCCGACGAATCAACCTCGCTTGAGCTTGCCTCCATCGACAAGCTCGAGCTCCTCAACGGCACCACCGCCGTCAATTGGGTGTCGTTTGAGGAGAGCCTCTTCACATACCTGGGCTCCGTTCGAGTGGGAGATTACTGTCTCCTAGACGTTGTCCTTGAAACACCTAATGGCCTCCCCCCCACTCCGCCCCCACTCCCAGGCTCCTCCCCCCCCGACGCCCCACCACTCCCGACCGAACCTGCCCCCCAAGCCCCTATCCTAGGGCCTTGGGAGGATGATCCGGACAGGTGGGCTCGCACGCTCAACAAATACAACAAGGAGCGGGACGACTATGTCATCAAAAGCAGAGCACACGCAGCTGCCATCGCCGATCACGAAGCTGCCGCTGCAAAACTTGCAGAATTCAGAATCGCCTCCGAAGAGTACTCTGCTAAGCTCCGTAAGCACCACTCCGATACAGCTGCATGGCGCATTGCTGACCGCCGTGCACTAACTATCATCTTCTCATGCGTTCCCTCCTCTCTCAAGCGTGACCTTCGCCCCCCATCCTCCCCCTCCCTCTGGAAGTCTCTCTCCTCCCAATATGATCGCCAGGACTTACGTTCCCTCCTCTCCCTCTTTCGCACCTTCCAAGACATCACACTGCACTCCTCCCTCAACGCTGCTTCCTTCGCTCGGCGCCTCACGGACACTGCACAACGTCTCAATGATCGTGGCATCTTGATCTCGGACACCCTCCTCACAGCACGCATCCTTGACTGCCTCCCACCCACCTACGACACTTATCGCATCAATTTCACCTCCCAGCACATCCGTCCTCCTCCTGTGGCTGTTACCATCGACTGGCTCCTTGACAGTGAGGCTGACCTTCTGCGTGAATCTGCCTCCATCAATGCCGTTCATGCGCGCAAAGGAACAAACACCGGCGGAAGCAGCGGGGGCGGACAAGGACGTGGCTCGGGCGGTGGTGGAAGAGGAGGCGGTCGAGGAGGTGGACGAGGAGGGCGCACTGGGGAACGTGGCGGGCGTGGGGCAACCACTTCAACCACGGGTGGGCTCCCTCCGTGCCAGTATGTCATTCGCTAAGGCCCTAACAAAGGTCAGACCTGCAACCAGACCACCCATCCCACTGATACGTGTTTCAAAGCTCTCACCGACGAATGGCTTGCACGCGGCAACACGGGCCCTCCTCCACGCTGGAGCACCATCACCCCTCGCCCCACCCCTCATGACATTCGCACCCTTCCCGCCTATGCACCATCTCCCCCCAACCTCCATAATGTCCTCGCCCAACACCTCTCCCCTCACGTCCTCCAGCAAGTCCAACACCTCCTCCCCACACCCACCACCACCCCAACACCTCCCATCCTCACCACACCCACCCTCGCACCTCAAACCCCTCCCTCCCCCTATCCTCCTCTCTCCCCTTATCCTCCTCCTTACTGGCCCTACCCTCCCTACCCCCCATCTCTGTATGGCCATGGGACAGCTGCAACTGCTGCACCTGCTGAACTACCCACCTCCCCCTCTCACCCCCCCGGCTTCACACCGTTTCCTTCCACGGGTTTCATAGGTCATGTCACCACTGCTAGCTCTTGCAATGATCCTCTGTATGTCAATGCTATTAATGAGTCCTCATTCCAGTACTCCGAGTCCCCCTCCTCCTCAAAGCCCCTTGAGTTCATCCTTGATAGCGGAGCCACGCACACGGTCCTTCGTGACGCAGGCATGCTCCTCCCCCTCTCCACCCCCTCCACAATACTTGGGGCTGACTCCAGCTTTGCGATACAAAGCCGTTACACCTCCACACTCCCCTGTCCCCTCTTTCCCTCAGGTACTGTCACAGGTCTCTATATCCCCTCCCTTCGGAACAACTTGGTATCCCTTGGTGCCCTCTCCGACTCAGGTGTCACCGCCATATTCCCTGGTCACAAAGCATATTGCGACTTATTTCACACCTCCTCCGGTCGTTTCCTCTGCCGTGTCCATCGGTGCCCCTCCACCCACATGTACACCTTCCGCATCCCCCGTCCCACCCTTCACCAACTCTCCACACCCCATCCCCCCGCCCCTTCCCCTCCTCTCGAACTCCCCCCTACCCCTCCCCCTTCCCCTCCCCCTCCCCCTCCCCCTCCCCCTCCCTCTCCCCCTCCCCCTTCCCCTCAACCTCTTCCTTCCCCCGCCCCTTCCCCTCCCTCCGCATCTAACCCACCCTCCCCTTGTCATTGTCGTGATCTCACACACCCCACCATTCTCCTCCACTATCGCCTCGGCCATCCCAACTTTGCCACCCTTCGCCGATCCATCCTCACTAAACTCCTTGACGGCCTCTCCCTTACCCTTCCCCCTCTCCCTCCTTCCCCCTCCCCTCCTTGCTCAGTTTGTGTTGAAAGCAAGCTGAAGCAACAACCACATACGAGTAACCCCTCCTTTTCCCTCCAACTCCTTGACCTCGTCCACATGGACCTTTGGGGCCCCAACCCCTCCCCCACCAGGCAAGGACATCGCTACCCTCCTCATCCTGGTGGATGATCACAGTCGATACTCCTCCGTCACCCTCCTTCGTACGAAGGCGGAGGCCCCGGCTGCCATCACAGCCTGGGCTGAACAAGCACGCAACCACTTCGGTCGCCCTGTCCGCCGCTTCCATTCCGATGGAGGCGGTGAGTTCCTCAACCGCACCCTGTCCTCCTACTGCACCTCTCACGGCATCCTCCACACCTACACTCTCCCTCACTCCCCCTCAGCAGAATGGTGTGGCGGAGAGCCGCGTTCGGGAGATCACCAAAACTGCTCGGTGCCTTCTCGTTCACGCCTCCTGCCCACCTTCTCTTTGGGGCTATGCCATCCTTCACGCTGCCATCCTCACTAACCTCTACCCCCACCCCTCTCGTCCCACCTCCACCCCCACCGAACTATGGACCTCCAGCAAGCCTGACATATCCCCTCTGCGCGTGTGGGGTTGCAAGGCGTATGTCCTCATACACCCTGCCGACCGCCCACGCGCACGTGGAAAGCTTGCGTCTCGCACTCTCCCCTGTGTCTACCTTGGACACAACACCACCTCACCTGACTACCTTTTCCTCCACCCCCCCTCAGGCCGCCTCATCCGTAGTCGGGACGTGGTCTTTGACGAGGCCACCCCGTACTACACCTCTTCCTCCGCCCCTAACCCCCTTCCCCCATTTCCCCGGCCCCTTCTCTGGACTGACACACTGCCCCTCCTCCCGTCCCCTGCCATGACCCCTCCCCCCCCTCCTCCACCCCTCCCCCCCGCTCCCCTCTCCTCCAGCTCCTCCGGCGACATCCTTAACCCACCCCCCCCCTCCCCCTCCCACTCCACTACCTCACCTTCCGCTGCAACTCACCTTCCTCCTCCTCCTCCCCCTACTCCACCTCCCCCGCCCCCTTCCCCTCCCTCCCCCCCTCCCCTCCTCTAACCCGCCCCCCCCTCCACCTCCCCCCCCCCTTCCCCGACGCCCCTCCCCTACCCTTGTCCTTCCCCGCTAGCCCCACACCCGCTCCCTGGACCCCATCCTTGGTTCCCCACAGACTTCCCCCCCCTCCCTCCTCGCCCTCACCGGTACTCCCCTCCCCCCCCGCTTCAGCCCCCTCACTCCAGATCCACTGCGCAACCGCTCCGCGCTCCTGACTGCACCACCACGCAGCCGAGCAGCAGCATTTCCATGCCTCAAATTCGACCTCCAGCGCAGCTGTCTTGCATCTTCACCACCCCCTCTACCTCCTCCTCTCTCTCCTCTCCTCTATGAAGACACCCACGACGAACTCCTCTTCCTCCACCTCCTCGCGCCCTCCATCGCCCCCATCATCCGCACCATGGCGGGCACTCCAGTTCTCCTTTTCTCCGGCACCCCCACCATCTTCGAACCCACCACGTATGAGGAAGCTATTGCCTGCCTCGACGCACCACTCTGGATTGAAGCCATGGTCAAGGAGAGCAACGCCTTCATCCACAACCGCTCCTTCATCGACGTCCCTCGCCCTGCCAAGACCAATGTCGTCAAAGGCAAATGGCTCTTTCGTGTCAAGCTTCTCCCTGGCGAAGACCCTGTCTACAAAGCTCGCTATGTGGCGAAGGGCTTCACGCAGAAACACGGCTTTGACTTCTTCGAAACATACTCATCCACTGCTACCCCACCGGTCGTTCGGGTGTTCCTTGACTTCGTCGGCAGACGCGGCATGCTGCTACACTCCATGGATGTCACTACCGCCTTCCTCCAAGGCGACCTACACGAACTCATCTTCATGGAACGCCCCAAAGGCTTTCACGCTCCACATGACCCGTCCACCGTTTGGAAGCTGCTGCGGCCCGTCTACGGCCTCAAGCAGGCACCCCGGGAGTGGCATGCCAAGCTCTCTTCCACCCTTCGCGAGCTTGGTTTTCGCCCCTCCCGAGCTGCCTCCAGCCTCTTCCTTCGGACGGCTCCGTCCCCTTTCTACATTCTTGTTTACGTCGACGACATGCTACTAGCTGCCGACACAGATGCTGAGATGCAGGAGGTCAAGGACGAACTACAGCGTCGACTCGCCTGCAAAGACCTGGGGGAGGTCCGCAACTACCTTGGCATGGAGATCACCCGCGACCTCAAGGCTAAGACTATCTCCCTGTCTCAGTCCTTCTACATTGAGAAGGTCCTTGAGAGGTTTGGAATGTCCAAAGCCAAGCCCATCGCCACTCCGTTTGCAGTTGGGCATCAGCTTTCGCCCCCTGCCACCCCCACCGACTCCTCGAACCCCTATGCAGAACTTGTCGGGGCCCTGATGTATGCCATGGTCTGCACCCGCCCCGACCTTGCCTACCCAGTCAGTGTTCTGGCACGGTTCTTTGGTGTCGGCATGCACACGGAGGAACACATGACGGCGGCCCGGCGTGTCCTACGCTACCTTCAGCATACGAAGAATTACTCTCTCACCCTCGGTGGAGTGGACCCGCCGGTCCTCACTGGCTTCAGCGACTCGTCCTGGGCAGATTCACAACCTGACCGTCGCAGCTCATAGGGATATGGTTTCTCCCTTGGGAGCGGCCTCATCAGCTGGCGCTCCACCCGCTCCTCCTCCATCGCCCTCTCCTCCTGTGAAGCCGAACTATACGCGGTCACGATGGCGGCACAGGAAGCACGCTGGCTCAGCTATCTCCTCACAGGCCTTGGCTCACCACAACCATGTCCCACCCTCTGGTGTGACAACGCTAGCACCATCCACCTCACCAAAGAAGCTGTCTTCCATGGTCGCTCCAAGCATATCGAGCTCCGCCACTACTTCGTTCGCGACCTTGTCCAGGATGGCCACATCACCGTGCGCAAGATCGACTCCTCCTCCAACCCCGCCGACATTTTCACCAAGGCCCTCGACCGCGCTACTCACTCGGCAATCTTGCCCCTCCTGGGCCTTGCCCCCCATGGTGACTGATTCAGTGGTTGCTGTCTTATCTCATCTAGGTTTAAGGATCTCTGCAGGCTAAGGGGTTGTGTTAGATTATACTACTCTTCTGTATCCTGCATTGACCCTATAAACCCTAGGATAGAGATAGGCACCCAAACAATGTTTGGGTGCACAACTAGGGTTAACCCTAGATGGGGGTTGGAACCCAACCTTGGCCCAATTATTGGACCCCAAGGTTGGGTTGGAGGATTATTGGCCCCCCCAATAATGTTGGCCCACTTTTGACCAACATTATTGGGACCCCCCAATAATTCTCCAACCCAACTTATTGGTGGGGGCCAATAATGTTGGCTAGGTACCAACCACCCCCCCTTTCCTTAGCTCCAACTATGTAAGCCCTCATCATTCCTAATCTATCTATCGGTTCAATTCTCACACTTGGTGCGAATGAGCACGTCCAGAGCTACCACAAGCGCGCTGAGCCCTGGGCAGGTCGGTGGGCAAGAGGAATGCAATACAAATGCCCTTCTATTAGCTCAGACCGACGCTTTTGAGGAGCTCACTGCCTAGTAACTACCCTCACTCACACATGTGCGGCGCCTCAAAAGCCTTCTGAGGTGTTCTCTAACTACCTAACCACCCTCACACACACGCGGTCTCCGTGACGACAGGACAGCCACTCGCTGACAATCAGTGCAGGTGCTGTTATTATCGAATAATAACAGCACCTGCACCGAGTGGGGACAGCCGCTCGCTCACAATCGCTCCTCACACCTGGCTCTGTTTGAAGTCGTCTTCTTCTGATCTCATTGACGCTTCCTACCACCCCCACCCACACACACCTTCCTTAACGGTAATTTACTTCACTCACAGTCACTCCTGATGCTCGAGTCTGCTGCTTGCTCCATAGCGTGCACAGCTTGTAACGAGGATGGATCCACCACCCTGTGAGGCACCACCACGGCTATGTTCTCGTACCCTTCCACCTCCTCCAAGGGGTTGTTCGTCTCTGCAAATGGAGAATAGAAGGAATCAATGTCTTAAAGAGTTGTGATGTGGAGAGTACAAGGGAAGGTTTTTGATGAGATATACGTTAACAAAAAAGAACAAAGAAAAAAGAAAGAAAGAAAGAAAGAAAGAAAGAAAGAAAGAAAAAAAGACTGCTCAGAGGGGGCTCACATCACATCACATCGCATCGCATCGCATCGCAACTCATCGCATCGCATCGCATCGCATCGCATCGCATCGCATCGCATCGCATCGCAACTCATCGCATCGCATCGCATCGCATCGCATCGCATCGCATCGCATCGCATCGCATCGCATCACATCACATCACATCACATCACATCACATACCCTTGGAGCCGAATGCAACAACTGCAACATCGTCACGTGGGTTGAAGAGAAGCTGCCAGGAAAGTGCAGAGTCGATACACGGAAGAAAAATAGCTGATTAGGCAAGAATAGACGGATGGAGGGATGTCATGGGACGGGATGGGATGGGATGGGATGGGATGGGATGGGATGGGATGGGATGGGATGGGATGGGATGGGATGGGATGGGATGGGATGGGATGGGATGGGATGGGAAGGGATGGGATGGGATGGGATGGGATGGGATGGGATGGGATGGGATGGGATGGGATGGGATGGGATGGGATGGGATGGGATGGGATGGGATGGGATGGGCTGGGCTGGGCTGGGATGGGATGGGATGGGTTGGGATGGGAGGAGCGGGGAGGAGATTGGAGGGGAGGGGAGGGGAGGGGAGGGGAGGGGAGGGGAGGGGAGTGGTGGGGAGGAGAGGGGAGGGAGGGAGGGAGGGAGGGGAGGGGAGGGGAGGGGAGGGAGGGGAGGGGTGGGATGGGAGGAGGGAGGGGGGAAGAGGGGAGGGGAGGGGAGGGGAGGGAGGGGAGGGGTGGGATGGGAGGAGGGCGGGGGGGAGAGGGGAGGGGAGGGGAGGGGAGGGGAGGGAAGGGGAGGGGATGAAATGGACGCTATGCTTCTTCACACATGAAAACGCACTTCTCCCCCTTCGTCTCCCTCCCCAATTGCAATTGCATACACTCGTCATAACCCCACACTCTTCCCACCCACCCACCCACCCACCCACACACACACCCACTCACCTCCTGAACCATCTGCTGCTCCACCCAGAGCCGGCACTCTTGAAACACGCTCGGTGGGACGGATGGGCGGATGAGCTTGCATACAGTCATGCCCATGCAACCCCATACAACCCCACACCAACCCACCCCCACACATCCCCACCCAACCCCACCTTTACCATCTGCTGCTCCACCCAGAGCCGGCACTCGTGAAACACCCCTGGTGGGACAGATGGCCCCGCATCAGCACTCCACCCATCCACACCCAACTGCACTCATCTAGCTACCTGCACCTACCCATCCCCACCTATCCTCACCTTCTGCACCATCTGCTGCTCCACCCAGAGCCGGCACTCCTGAAACACGCTCTGTGGGACGGATGGACCTGTATCCACCACGTATACCACCGTCTCCTGTGCAGCCGGAAATGGGGGTGGGGGGAGGGGAGAGGGGAGGCGGGGAGGGGAAAGGGGGAAGAGGGGGAAGAGGGGGGAAGGGGGGGAATGAGGGAGGTTGGCAGTGGACCCGAATTCACCACATACACGCGTGGTGAGGCGGGGGGGAGCGGGGAGGGAGGAGGGGGGAGACAGGGGATGGGGGGGAATGAGGGAGGTAGGCAGTGGACCCGCATTCACCACATACCACCACTACCTCTTCCCCCTCTCCCCTCCCGTCTCCTGTGCGTGTCAGGGCGGGGAGTAGCGTGGAGCGGAGATGGGGGGTAATCGGGAGTTAAGAAGGAAAGAGCAGGCACGTGTACCACGTGGCCCACCGAATCCTGCGACAAGAGCGGCGGGAAATGCGGAGGAACCAAGCTGCGAAAGAAAAATCGACGGCTGCACAAACGTCGATGCTGAAATCAGTGCGAAACCAAGAGGCCCGTTACCAGTACAAGCGTTTCGCAAGCTCTGCGTACGTACCGCGTTTCTCGCCATTTATGCAATTCGCTACGAAGCGCGAGTCGCGCCTGGAGCCTTTCTGATTCCCCACCACCCCGCGGCGCGCCTGGACAAGTCTCGCTGGATAGGCGATCGCAGGTAACAAGTGGATCCTGGCGTGTTCCACGTGGCTAAAATATCAACTGTGCCAGATGTCAAAACCAGCGCCACAGAAAATACGCCCTCAGCGCGAGTTCACGGAGCAGATGTTCTCAATTGTGTTCCGAAACAGCATTTCATGCGGTTTCGTAAGATGAATTTGCGATATACTACGGTTTCGTGTGGTGACCACCGCCATATCGATATCAGGCCAGTTCCC